ACTTTTACTCAAGTAATATTTTTAGAGAAGACTTTAACTTTTACCAAAGTATTTTTATGATAAGATACTTGTACTTTTAATCAAGTTATCACTTTGAGGTACTTCATACAGCACTGATGCTAAAGAAGCAAACATGAAGGAAGTGCAAACCTGACTGAAAGGTTTGGAGCAACAGGAAAGAGTTAATTTACAGACAAAAAAGCAGGAAGTTTAAAGAAAAAAAAAACACAAAACAAAAACAAACCCTGAGCCTCAGAGGAGGTACAGTGTGTGTGTGTGTATGTGTGTGTGTGTTTGTGTTTGCATGGTGGCCTGCTGCGACAAGATTACATGTTCACTGTCCCACTGCAGGAGGGGAAGTGAGATTGGTGGGATGGAGTGGTAAATGGGCCTAGCAGGGAGCCGTACGGCTGGATGAGCTCCCCTCTGGTGAGGCAGAGCCGGACCATCGGCTGCGGGGTCCCGTGTTTGTTCTGCTGCTAAAACCCACAGACTGACAGCTCTGCTGACACTCGTACTGTAGACAAGTTTAACGTGGTATTAAAGCTTCACCAAGAACAGCTAAACATTAAGATGTTATTTCTATGGGGCCTTGTTATGACTTTATTAAATGATAATATGGACTTTTTGATCTCAAACAGACTGTTGGGGATTTTTTTTCTTCTTTTTTCAGCTRCATTCTCACTAAATAGTGTTTGGGACCAATAGCAATGTGGTCAGGTTTTAATAATCTCATCTTATTTTTCTGTCCAAGGCTTGTAAAGCTGCATTCTTAGTCTTGCACATCATTTCAAGACCTCTGTTGGTTTTGTMCCCATCTTTGCAGCCGCCCCCATGTTTATGATTTAATGACTGGAAAACACTTTGGAGCAGATATGAAATAATTACTGATCTTCAGAGTGGATTTTAGACTTGAACACTTGCCTCAGATGTTTTCTGGAGAAATGCTCCCGTCTGTTGCAAAACATATGTTGGAGACATGCCTGACGATGTTGCGACTACTAAAAAAAAAGGTAAGCAAACTTAAGCATCACCGTTACGCACTTTCTGCAACCTGGAGGCTCCCTCATGAATGCTGTTAACGCCTCACAGCCCAGTGAGATGCTGCCTTAAATCCCAGGAAAATAAAAGTGTAATATAAAAGTGTAATAATTTAAATATGTCTGAATTTATTTGTGTTTTATACATACCTTCAAGTTAATATTTTGTATTTTTTTGTCTAGTAAGTGTTTTATTATATGTGATCAGTGGTGGGCAGTGCTAATCCATAAATTAGCTTCGCAATTTTTTAAGCGTTTATGAAAATATTTAGGTTCGCAACTTCAAAAGCGCTTATGCCATACAAAAACTAGCGGAAGCTAATTTTAAAGCCCAAGTTCTATTTGACGCTTACTAGCTGGCAATAATTCATGTACAATATATGCACAACACTGCCAACTAGTGGTGTATGAACTTTTTTACAACTTAATCCTACAACAGCCGATTGCTGGGGATGTGATTTCTTGAAACAGACCTTTAGCTCCTGGGGTAAAAATTGAAAAGTTGTTGAGGATTGCTAGTTCGGCTGCTTCTTTTTCTTTTTCTTTTGTTTGTTGTAGATTTTTCATTAAAGAGGCATCAATAAAGTAATTTTAAAACTGTTTATTGGAAAACTAAAGCGATGCATTCTGGGTACATGACGGATTTGATTTGTGACGGGAAACGAAAGTAAGGAGTCCAAGAAAATATCTTCCCTTCAAAATAAGAGCTTGGATTTTAAAGTTTTCCATGTAGTTGCTCCAGTTGACCACTAGATGTCAGTCATCAGCATAACATCTTTAAATCATTTCTGAGTCTCTAACCCCGTTGCTTCGACCAATTACGTCAAGTATTGAGCTCCAGCGTTTAAACTTTATTTTTTTTAAAAAAGGAGCTCCGATTGTAAAGTAAAATAAATCATTTGTCATTTATTTTGACATTTTAACCAAAATCTGCCCATATCCCATTTTGGGACTTTTCCTCACTTTGATGTGACGATCACATAAGTAGCTTTTTAACATTTTAAAATAAATTTTTTAATATGATTTATATATATAACATCTATGAGCGTTATGCAGATGCATATCTATTTGCTTGTTAGTCCAGACTTTACTTTTCTATTAAAACATGGCACAAATTATGACTCAGTAATAGTCACTTAAGTAAAATAACAGCAATAATTTATTTTCCACAGAAAATTATTTTCTGTATCAACAAAATTAAATCCACGGAACAATTTTTTTGTGCTTTGCAAAACCAGAGCACTTCAACAGCATTCTAAAAGGCTCTCCATTAAATTATTGCTTAATAGCACCATTCACCGTGGCTGTGATAAAGTGACCTCTTTTAATAGATGTAAAGAATTAAATATATTAGCCCCTATCTGGCATTTATTGTTATTCTGTGAATAAATTGAAARCAGCAAAGAATAAAACACAACAAATGCGCTTTAGAGGCCACAAAAAGCCTCAAGCAAACACTAAAACCTCTTTTGAAATGTTTCTAAAGCTCTAAACAACTAAACAGGAGCAWTTATAATGCGGGGATCTATTAAAATGCTCAACTTTGAAGCAATTTAAATAACTACTAATGTGCTTCATTTTAATAACATTAGGGAGACAAATTGTGAGGCAAAACATTCTGAATTGGTGTTGTAGCTCAGAGGTGGCTYGTGGCTGGTTAGGCTGAAAAATATCAGGAGAATAAAAAAAAGGCAACAAAACATCCTTTGAATCAGAAGAATGAAGACGGTGAAAGAAAAACCCGTTTCAGTTCAAAAACAGCCTACTATCACGAAACATGGAACTAATGAACGACAGTTTATATAAAAAGAACAAAAAAAGCTTTATGAAAAACACAAAATGCTTTATTTATAAAGCAGGTTTCTGTGAAAACAGAGCGTTCACCGTCTCAGCATCAGCGCTGATCTATAACCATTCCAGCAACAACAAAAGACACAGTTCAGGTGTTAAAGCTGCCGAGGGCGAATATAAACCTCTGTAAGAGGTTATTAATGGGACCCCGCAGAACGTAATGTGGGTTAGCAAATCATGAAGCTGTGCTCGCTACATACACGTGTTTTTATTTTTTTGTTTTTAGCTAAGTCTGGCCTCAGTGGGATTTAAAGGGCAGCTACTGCACAGAGAACGGTGGAGTACTTACTGTTGGTTGCATAACATATTGTTGATGAGGCATCCATGACGTACTCTGGACCTGAGCAGAAAYGGACAAAATATGTTACAACATAAGTGATTTTATTACTTTTTTCATTTTTATGTCTTGGACATACGGAGCCCGCGAGGGGACATGGGGGATTTTTTTTCATTGGGTTCCCACGCAATACTTTTGCGTTACCTCGCAATACTTCTGCGTTACCTTGCAATATAGTTTTGCGTTCCCACACAAAAGTTTGATTTGTATATGAACTGAATTAAATCAGAGTTTTATTTTTTAAATATCTTGTCACCAAAACAGGATGTGTCACCACAAGTTCGTGAAATTGAGATTGATGTTGCGTGGCTGCACTGTGTAAATATCGGCATATGACATACTTCCATGCGTGGCTGTGTGATATATTCATTCTGAAGCTGAATTAAAGTAGTAGGCTAACTCGCTAATGGTGAGCAGGTGAATTTGTTAAAGGAGACCAATTATGGGTCCTAGAAATGTTTATGGTATGTCTGTGGGCTCTCCAGACCATGTTCATTCA